ATATATATATATATATATATATATATATATATATATATATATATATATATATATATATATATATATATATATATATATATATATATATATATATATATATATATATATATAGTTTTTTTTTGCAGTCCACATAGAATCCAACATGGAAATCAATGTTTTCTTTATTGGCATTGATTGTTTTGAAATACAAATGGCATTAACATGCTTGTGTTTTTATTTCTGTAATAAATATGGCTGTCAAGCCAGGATCTTGATGGTTTATTGTGGGTATGTTGTTTACATAAAGAGAATCTGTGTTACAAGTTAAACAAAAATTCTAATAATGATATGATAACAAGACAAAAAGTAAGAAAAGCATTTTTTTTCCTATTGTGGTTATTCACTTTCTGTACCTGAATACTGTTAGGCTCCCTGGAAAACGGTCAAATAGTGTCATCCTTTGAATGGCATTCACATCATAATATTTAATCACAGAAATTTTAAATATTGCAATATCAGATTTTTACAAAATCATAAAGCCTAGTTTATAGCCACTTGATAATGAGTAAAGGGGTGATGACGAGTTTTGAGGTGAACTAACCTTTAAAAAACAAATATAAAGAAGCACCAATAACTTTGAAGTGGTCTCTTGCTAGTTTCCAGAGCTGCACACATTTTAAAAAAACAACTGACAAATCATACCTATAATCTTATGTCTTACCTTTCAGCTGATCAGTGACACTGTGCCCGACACGTTCAATCACTCGTCCATCTTCCCTCTCATAGCGGTCGTCCAGAAAACCTGCTGTGACCTCCGACAAGTGCACCTTTCCCGCTACGCCCAGCTGCTCCATGAGATTGGCTAAATTGACATCATTGGACCAGACGTCAAACTTAAAGCGCTTCATTCCCAGAATCCCGCAGAGCACAGTGCCCGTGTGCACACCGACGCGCATGTTCACAGTCTCCGACATCTCCTGGCAGAACTGCTCGATGGCCTGGATCATCCCGAGCCCCATTTCCACACAGCAGTAGGCGTGATCAGTGAGCGGTTCGGGACAGCCTGCCACACAATAATAGCAATCTCCTAGAGTGCTGATTTTTTCGCAGCTGGTCAACTCACAGAGACGGTCAAAGCGGCCGAAGAGGTCATTTAAGAGTCCCACCAGAGCATGGGCAGACTTGTTGGCACTCATTTTGGTGAATCCCACAATGTCGGCAAAGAGGATGCTCACTGGCTCCATGCGCTTCATGTTGAAGGGCCTGAAAATGATCTGTCCACGAGGGATGGAGTTCTTCTTTCGCTTGTGGCTTTTGGGGCTGGAGGAGGTTACGGCAGCTGCGGCGGCCACGGAGCACGTACCTGCGCTGTATCGTTTCCCTGAGCTCTCGCTCTCCTCGTCCCCCTGCTTCATCAGCTCATCCGCCACCGATCGGGGCATCACAGAGTGGATCATCCGCTCCTTCAGCGCCTTTTCAACCTCCAAGTCCTTCCCATGCATGATGGCCTGGCCGACTTTGAGAAAGGTACTCCGAGAGCGCACTTCAGACATTATGAAAATATGGATGCCGACGACATGTGCGCACAAGTGCAGCAGGAATTTGCCTGGGCCAAGCCAGCTAAGTGTGCCCGAAATTCCTTCCCTTGACCCTACATAACTCTCGTCCAACTGAGCAAGGTGCAACCAGCCTAACGCTTCATAGAGCACAGAATACAGCAGGCCCAGGAGCACTGAGGCATACAGAGGCAAGTGCAACACGCTGTACAGCAAGAGCAGCACCTCCATACAGAGAGAAAATGTCCCTACGGGTGATATGCAAGAAGCATTTTGATAAACAGGTAGTGGTGACTGATTGTCTGCCCTGTGGCTGTCATAATGAGCAAAGTGAGCAGTCTGAGTTTGGGGCGCCAGGGTGATGCCAAACATGATGACGGTGAGGAGGAAGGAGGTGTGGTTGTAGTATCGAGAATAAGGCTTTGTGAATGTAAACCAGAGGAGGACAAGGCACAGTATAAGAAACCCTGCTGTTGGGACAAGGAAGTTTGTAGGCTCACACCTAGAGCTGTTGATCCCGAAGTATATCCCCCATAGGAGTGCAGCGGTGGCCAGGTAGAACAGGATGTAGCGAAATCTTCTCTGCATCTGCGGGAAGCAACGCTCCCTGCATGCCTCCTCCAGGATGGAGGAGTCAAACTTGGGGTCCCAGCACTGTGCGGCAGACCTCTCGAAAAGTGGGGGCACCCTCCTCGGATTGCTCAGGTGAGTCATCACTGCTCTGGGAACACCCAACTCCCCTGAGCTACAGCTCGAGGAGATGCTGTATTTGCAGGGTTTGGAGGAACTCATGTCAGGGTGGTCAACAGATTGGTTTGGACGCACCTGTTGATTATGGCTGTCGTTTATCCGCACAGTAACTGCTCCTCCTTCACTGTCACACCAAACCTCGGTCTTATGCAGTGGCTGCTGTTGCTCTGGCAATGCCATGGCAATGAGACAACAGCTAATTATCACATATCACAAACTGTTGACAGCTCAGGGGAAGTGGCACTTGGCTTTTAAGGAGTACAAAAAACAAAGTTTGTATTTGAAAAAAGTCCAGCGTGAACCAAACTCTAAGTGCATTCACGATATGAAGATGGACTGTCCTGGACTCCTGAGCAGTTCCTTATCCGTGCTGGGATTACGTCAGCAGGACTCGGATTCCATTATATTTCTATGGCTCAGTGGCGCGTGAACGCGCATGTGTGTACTTTTGCTCCGTCCGCGCGACTGACGCACTGTCACTTTCTTGATCCTCCTTTTTCAACCACATCGTTTTAAAATTCCCCTTTCACACCACAACACTAACTACGCATAATTTAAATTTAGAAAATGATTTACAAATGGTATTAAAATAAGTTTTAAGTTAGTTTTAATCAATCAAGTCAACGCTGTCTCTCAAACACCCTCTCCAATGCTCAACAATATTTGAATTTAATTTCCCTTTCCAAATGATATGCAAACATAACACAAATGTACATTTCATATTTCAAAAACGCCAGATTTGACATTTCTTGTACTATCAACTTCGGTCTAATGCCAATTTTAAGTCGAAAAAATTCCAAATGCTATTAGTTGCTGTTTGTCAACAGTGTTAGCTGTTAACGGGCGCCACTTTCTGAGAGAAAACTTCTTTTAAATGCGCCACGTTTCCCTTTAAAGAATCAAAAACATAACAAAAAAGTTGCAAAACATCTCTAACAACATTCTCCCTTGGGTTCTGGCACCATAATGGTCCTCACAAAAGTGAACGCCTGACAGAAAGACGCTGCAGTTGCCTGTGTTTTCCGTCAAAACTCGGAGCAGAACTCGCTACTTCTGCCCCAGACGAGGGTCAGAAGATGGCCTATTCCCATAGAGGAGCCCCGTCCTTTCCTGAACACCCACTCCGGATGTCAACTGTGAATATTCCAGCTTTCAAAGCGCTTTAAAACACTTCCAGGCTCAAGTCGACGTCGTGACACCTCCAGATGACATCAGCGCGAGGGCGAAGCGCGCCTGTGCATATCTGCCAGCTCCAGAAGACCAATAATACTCAAGATTTCAACTTCCAAGAAGAACTAAACACTGATGACACCGAGGCGCTCACACAAGCAGAAGAGTGCTGAGGGAAAGTACACTCTTGGTTCTGTGCAATCCTTTTTAAAGCCAGTCCCTCAGAAGGAATCTCATATAAAGTGTTGGAAATGAGGACGAAAGTTTTCTTCTTCTTCCCCAGGCCTCAAGTCGTTTAATCGGGCTGGCTGGTTAACATTGCTGGAGTTCAGAGCAAGACTGACATCTCACATTGCTTCAAATCCCACGCCAGTATTATTATCCGCCTCTTTAATCTCCACTTTGTCTGTTTAGCATTCCTCTGAAACTCTTTTTTTCCCTCCGTGGGCAAAGCTCATGCCAGGCGAGTGCACTGCCGCCGTCCTCTTCCGTCCGCTCTCGGTTCTCCTCCCCGTCTGCTGGATCCTGTGTGGCGGCTCGGGCTGGAGTTGAACCCCGCTGGCTGGCTCTTTTACCCCGGCGCTGCGTTCACGAGCTCCGCCACCACCATGTTCTGGGCGCACTCGGGGAAGATGGTTGTGGGCGTGCGGCGGGTGGACAACTTGACTACACTACAGTGTTGAAATACAGGGGAGGGGGCAAGTCGCGGGGGAGCGCGCACGCAGGGCTCTTTAACGGCGGCGCGCACGCATGAGAACGGCTCGAATTTGAAGACTTCTGGGCAAGGAGCCCGTGTGATGTCACGAGAAGGAGAAAGTACGTTGAAGTGTGTAATTGAGGTAATATTTATTTATTTGAGTCTAGATTAACTGCAAACTGAACTCCAGGTGTTCCTTGAGTTGTTCAGTGACGTAGAAGTAAATCAGTGAGTCAAAACGCGTGTGAGTATGTATGTATGTATGTATGTATGTATGTATGTATGTATGTATGTGTGTTGAACCAGTTATTTGAGAGTAGCTATTCATTCATTCATTCATTTTCTTTTGAGCTTAGTTCCTTTTTTTAATCTGTGGTCACCACAGTGGAATGAACCACCAACTTATTCAGCAAATGCTTTACACAGCAGATGCCCTTCCAGCTGCAACCCATCACTGGGAAACATCCATACACACTCATTCACACGATTTAGCTCACCCAATTGACATATACCATGTCTTTGGACTTGTGGGGGAAACCGGAGCACCCGGAGGAAACCCACGCGAACACAGGGAGAACATGCAAACTCCATACAGAAATGCCAACTGACCCGACCAGGATTCGAGCCACAGACAATCTTGCTGTGAGAAAATTGTGCTGTTCACTGCACCACCATGCTGCCTGAGAGTAGCTTATGGTCATTTATTTATTTACTCTGATTTTACTTTAAGATTTGCTCTGGCCATATTTAGAAAATAATTCATTATTGTTTGTAAGGCAATCTCCTGTGAGATTTGTAAGCGTTTTAGAAATAATACTTATTTGTAGACTTCTGTAGGTCCCCTAGACCTGATTCTACTGTTGTTGGATCCATTTGTTTCTCCACTAAAAAATCCAATAATAAAATCAGGTCTTAATTTTTAGATCTCCTCATCTCATATCCCTCTTCTATTTCTTATTGGAACAATCTTTTTGATGATTAAATGGCCGTATGTTTGGTCACTCTGCCTGAATAAAAAATAAAATAAAACTAAAGAAATATCTTTAAAATTATTCACAGATTTTATCCAGGTACACAATTTTTACAGAAATTCAAAAGTGACATTGACGTGTCTTGCCCTTTTTTTTGAGACTTCTACTGAGTCTGTTGCTCACTTATTGTTGGGAATGTCCCTTTGTTAAATCGTTCTGGTCTGATGTGAATCCTCTAATCCTCCAACAGGTTTGTGGTGATTTTCTTTAAGCTATAAACATTTTTTTTGAGGTTTTACATGAAAGAAAAACAATTCCTTAATTCAGGTTTTTGTATAAACCTCATATTATTTATTGAAAAAGTTTATTTTATACGTAAATGTAAATCTACTCAACGACACGTAAAACAAATGAAAACCATTACAGAGTCTGATAACAAGAAAGCAGTTAAAACTTCTAAAACATGCTTTATTTAATATCTGCATTAATTTGTATTATTTTTTTCATGTGCACTTTATTTAATTTTTGTTTATTATTGTGCGATGCAATGGCACAGTTGGTAGTGCTGTCGCCTCACAGCAAGAAGGTCGCTGGTTTGAGCCACGGCTGGGTCAATTGCCGTTACTGTGTGGACTTTGCATGTTCTCCCTGCGTTTGCGTAGGTTTCCTCCATGTTCATAGTTTATGTGTGTGAATGAGTGTGTATGGATGTTTCCCAGAGATGGGTTGCAGCTGGAAGGGCATCGGCTGCGTAAAACATGTGTGAGATAAGTTAGTGGTTCATTCCGCTGTGCCGACCCCGGATTAATAAAGGGAATTTCTTCTTTTTTCTTTCTAATTGTCTTTCTTTAGCTTTATCATTATTACATTTCTGGGCGACGTGGTGATTCAGTGGGTAGCATGTTCACCTCAAAGCAAGAAGATCGCTGATTCGAGCCTCGACTGGGTCCGTTAGCATTTCTGTGTGGGGTTTGCATGTTCTCCCCGTGTTCGCATTGGCTTCCTCCGGGTGCTCCGGTTTCCCCCACAAGCCCAAAGACATGTGGTAGTGGTAGAACTGGGTAGGCTAAATTGTCCGTAGTGTATGTGTGTGAATGAGTGTGTATGGATGTTTCCCAGACCTGGGTTGCAGCTGGAAGGGCATCTGCTGCATAAAAAACATATGGTAAATGAGTTGGCAGTTCATTCCGCTGTGGCGACCCCAGATTAATAAAGGGACTAAGTCGAAAAGAAAATAATAAGAATAAGAATAAATGAATTATTAAATTTCTTTAAAATTGCACTATACTTTATTGCTCTATACTGTTTGTATTTTTATCTATTGCAATTATAATTCTTTTATACCAAAAATATTTCATCCAAGAATAATATTAAAGTATGCAATAAGTAAATATTAAGTAAATGTCATGTTCCATAAAGATATTTTGTAGAATATCTACTGTAAATATGTCAAACTTCAAACGTGTATTGCTAAGCACTTCATTTAGGCTAATTTAAAAGCAATTTTCTTAGTATTTGCTTTTTTTATTGTATTTTGATTGCAGGTTTTCAATTAGTTGTAAGTTAAATGCTGTCCTATGCTAACATCATTAGAAATTACTTATAAATCTCAATTTTAAAAAAGTGACACTGGTTTTGTGATTCAGGGTCACAAATGCATTAAGTATGTACCTTTATTTTTTATTGTATTCTTTTCAGAATATGGGATTTCATTTATTTGTGTATATATTTTTGCAGAAATTATCAAAAATAAGCATCTACAAAAATAAATAAATATACAGCTATGGAAAGAAAGAAGACGGCCACATAAAAATACTTTCTTGATTTACTGTATTATGTATGATTAGGTAAAAGTAAAATGTTAATATTTGTTTTATTCCATAAAAATTTGATATTTCTTTAAAATGTCACATACAAATATTGTCATTTAGAGCAATTATATATATATATATATATATATATATATATATATATATATATATATATATATATATATATATATATATATATATATATATATATATATATATATATATATATATATATATATATATATATATATATATATATATATATATATATATATATATATATATATATATATATATACAAATATATATATATATATATATATATATATATATATATATATTTATATATATATAATTATATATATATATATATATATATATATATATATATATATATATATATATATATATATATATATATATATATATATATATATATATATATATATATATATATATATATATATATATATATATATATATATATATCTCAATGTAACATATAAGACAAACCACAAAAAAATCACAAGTTCAAAATATACATTTATAAATAGTTTTAACATTTATTAATTAATAAATTACTATTTTTATACATACAAATAATAAAACTGAGTGAATTTAAAAACGTTGTCTGCCATAAAAAATACACATGAAGGAAATATACAACAACAAAAGTGGAGCATAACCATCTTTTTTACATTGCAAATCAACACACAGCCAACTCATGGGCGTTACATAGGCTTGTTTACATCCTTCCAGATGTCTATTAGCTGCTGTGGGGATCCGAGGATTGTCGTAATGGCCCTGAGAAAATTCTCCCGTTTATATTGCCCCATATAGATCCTGAACTGAGAAGGTTCTGGTGGAGATGAAGGCTCAACGCCCAACTGTTTCAAACAAGCTCCAATATATGCGTCTTCTATGTTAAATGGCTTTACATAATTGGAAGCCTCCACTATTTTTGATGGCAGGTCATTAGAGAAAACATATCCCATTCCCAGCAGATATGTAGGGTATTTTGGTTCGGGGTAAAGCTCCTCTGAGACGTACCATTTTGAGTTTTTGTTCCTGACAACAAATCGGTTACGCATTAACACTCCAGTAATGTAGTTTTCTCTGGGTGTATTGGGAGCCGATAGAAGAGTCACCAGGTTATCAACATTTAAAAACATGTCTGAATCAATCTTCATACTGTAATAAGCTTGAGGGCATCGAGTGG